TGTCTGCCTGCATCCATACGGTATCGGCATCCATTCATACATATGCGTGCATCCATCCACCCGTCCATCCGTCCGTCCTCCGTCCATCTGCACCTGCAGCAGGGCAGCGTGTGAAACTGGCCAGCCAGCAGTACTGGTTTATGGATGAAGAGGATGCGTGCGGAATTCTTCAGCCCACGTTGCCCTGAGCTGCGGGCAGCACCTCCCGGGCAGCACTTGGTGACGGTCCTTCCCTTCCATCTCACTTTTTCTTTCTGATTTTAGTATTTGCTAATTGCTTGTTTCTCTATTTGGCACGCTGATAATGTTTTAAACTTACTTCTGAGGCACTTGTGAACAGCTGCGCATAGTGACTGATTTATCAGCTCGATGCAGATCGTGGGTTAATGCCCTTCAGATGTAGCCACTTCAATTATAACAATATCTGACATTACATGCGATACAGGGCTGTGATTGCACTTGCCTGCTCGTCCTGGAATAATGACTTTTATTCCCTTCCTCACTAGGACGATGGCTTCTATCGCTGAGCGCACGTTCATCGCCATCAAGCCCGACGGAGTCCAGCGGGGACTGGTGGGAGAAATCATCAAGCGGTTTGAACAGAAAGGATTCAAACTGGTGGCCATGAAATTAATACATGTAAGCGTTCCTTAATTTGTATGTCACTTTTTTGATATAAACTGCAGCCTTAAAATAAAGCAGCATGCTGTAACAACAGAGGCAGTCTTCAGAACGGTTAAATGTGAATTTTTGAGAAGTCTTTGAATATTTTGGAAAAGTTCCAATTCCTAGCTCTGGCTACATGCTTTAGACATGCTAAGCATACTTATTTTAGTAACCTGATGTCCTTCGTCTGAAGAGACTATTCTTTTAGGTGCATCCTATACCTAATAAATATCTCTGAACGTCTTCAACAAATGCCGGGTCACATAAGCTCTCTGTATCAGCAAAATATATTTTTCTAAATTCAGCTGTGGTTAAAGCAAACACTTAGAAATATTGACCAAAAAGTACTTTGAGGAACATGCTAGAAATTCTGAATTTTCAAGTGCGTGCAAATTCTAGGACTAAGAATGCTCCGTGGTTAATCTGTGTGATTTCAATATGCTCTTAAGTTCTTACAGTAAGCTTTTTCTGTTTGGCTGGTTGGTTTTTAATGCAGGCCTCTGAAGATCTTCTGAGAGAACACTACATTGACCTGAAAGACCGTCCGTTCTATGAGGGTCTGGTGCAGTACATGCACTCTGGACCTGTTGTAGCTATGGTGAGTTCCTGAGAACAAAGCTCAGCTAAGAAAAATAGACTGTTTAATTGTCTTACCTGCAATAAGATTATGTTACCTGTTGAATTCCAGTTTACTTTTGGAAAGGACTTAAAAACCTAGTTTTGGATACTGTAATTAGGAAGATGTGCTGCTAACTCGTTTTTCTTTAATCTTTTTTCATAATCTTTCTCTTCTTTGAGTTAGTATGTTGCTGAACAGGGCAGGGGGAAAAGGGAGAACCAAAACTGAGACCTTGAGAAACAGTAAACCTACACAGAAAAACCATTGTGAATTGCCATGTATTAAGTAAGCTGAAAAAAAGTTGAAATAATTTTTCTATACTCTTAAGCTAGCGTAGCTTTGAAAGCTTTTTCAGTCTAACTTCATTACAAGAGATTTTCTCAGTTTTATGTTGATAGTGTGTTTGTAAAACAGTTGAGCTGGAGGCCTAGATCTTCAATGAACAGACAGCTTTGCAAGGCTGTTTACAACATTAAGATTTAAAATTTTTCTCTTCCCATCCTTGGTGAGGAGAAGTGCTGTGCAGAAGGGGAAAATTTCAGCAGACACTTCAAAAACCTGTCAGAAAAATTGGAGATGAAGTATGTCTTGCCATTAGAATATTTGGATGGCGATCTTTGCCGTGATGGACAGCATTGTGTAATTCTGGGAGGTGTGATTAACTCTTGCTGCTTGATCTACTACTAAGATTTAATAATGTCAATCGATTTTTATTTATTTATTTAAGGTGTGGGAAGGTCTTAACGTGATTAAGACTGGAAGGGTGATGTTGGGGGAAACTAATCCATTCGATTCAAAGCCTGGCACTATTCGTGGTGACCTTTGCGTCCAAGTGGGCAGGTACGTTTTGAAACTATTTGGATCATCTAAAGAGACTAAATGTCCAGTGGTATATCATGATATATGTCATGACATATGTAGGAACTGTGTTCCATCCTTCTCTATCTTGGGCATGGAGCTGCTGTCCCTGTGCTCAGGTGACGCCACGATCTAAGGACAGAAATGGAGTTGTGGCCTTCCCTGTTGACAAAAACGATGAGCAAAGCTGGCCCTGCACACCCCATGCCTGTCGCTACTTTCTAGTTACTTAAAACTTCTCTCCGTAATGGTGCCCACTTCAAAGAGAAGGAAGCTTGCTTTCCTCTGGGGATTGTATTACTTTTATAGCCACCTTTTCTTTTCCTAGGAACATCATTCACGGAAGTGATTCTGTAGAAAGTGCGGAGACAGAGATCAATTTGTGGTTCACTCCTGAAGAGCTGGTTGATTACAGAAGCTGCGCTCATGAGTGGATCTATGACTAAACCTGAACCTCTGCCTCCTGAGATCCCTCCTGTCTGTGAACAGCAGCTAGCCTCTAGCTCTCTAGCTGGTAGAAACCTCAGAAATCTGTGAGAATGCTTAGTTGTGAATATCAAATATAGTCAGCGTTTGCTGCTGCTTTGGTTAAAAAGCCGTCAAGTTATAGATGGAATCGTACTTTTAAAAAGCTACTTCTGGGGGTGAGAGGTAGGAGATTGAAACCCAGAGCACATAACGCGTACATTTTCCTGAAACACTCTGTAGTCAAAGAGGATATTTTGGTAAACAGAAAAAAAAAAGTAAAAAATTTGGTGAATTATTATGCAAATGGCTAAGTGTGAAAGGTTAATTTTGTTAAACTGGTAGGGGACAACTGGTGGTATGTCAGTCTATTGATAGTGTGCCCAAATGTTGAGGATTGAACCTGACATCAAGTGAATGCTCATGCCCGAAATGGCTGCAGTAAAAAGCGTATTTATTTCTCTCTCCATAATGTGCTGTTCCTGTACACAGCTTTGGTTTAAATGACAGCTTTCCCCTAGACTGACACTGTTTCAACTTGCTGCTTTTTTTTCCCTATACAGGATTTATGTAGCATTTTAAGGAAGGATTAATAGGCCAGGCTTTCTGAAATGCCCTTTTATGTGAAAAGAAGATTAATGTGAGGATGGATGAGGGATATCTACCTTCAGCCACCTGACTGCAGCAGTCCTCTGACACTGCACAGAGAACAACCGTGATGTTTGTTTTACTGCTGCACCGCTGATAATTTAGTGATGTCCTTCCTCGTGTTCTTTTCTTAACAGCTGAACTCCAAGCTGTTCTTGGATAAGGTATTTCAGAAGTGACTTTAGCGTTATCTTATTTATTTAATCATGTCAAGCAATACAGTCATAATAATGACAAATGTGTTTCAGTAGAGCTGTCTGCTTCTAGGAGAGAAAACAATCAGCCTCTTGCAGAAATTTTAACAACAAATATTTCCAAGCTGTGCTGGATGAGGAACAAGAAATGTGTTGGGGTCACGATTATGTGTTTATTTATTTGCAACATTGTATTCATCAAAAGCAAGAGTTTCATTAAATTAGTTGTTTCAGCTTCCAGGGTTTTTTCCCACAGTGAGTTCTTGTTTCGAATACCAAACTGTGCAATGAATGTTGAACTCAATGTATATGACACTTTACAAAGGTATCTAACTCCTAAAAAAGAAGGTATAAAATAAAACATTTGCTGTTTAAGTGAAATAAAGGAAGATTTTCACTATATTGTCTTAGATCTAATTAATGAGTATAAGGAGATGGAACAAATTCCCTACGTACCAAACTGTAGGCAAGGTTATGAGCTTCTCATCTGAAAATATTCAGCGTTACAGAAGATAAACAGTTAAGTTAAAGGTTGGTAGAGAAAATGGAACATGTGATAAACCTGTGCAAGAGGTGAGTCCCCTCCAGTTCCATTTTTGCTTGAAGGACTACTTGAGGTTTCTTTTTCGTGATTTGCTTACTATAAAATACTGAAATCTGTGTTATCCAGAGATGTGGGGGTTGTCAGAAAGCTACTAATTAGTATTTGCGATGCGCAGGTTCTCAGAGAAACGCAAGGCTCCTGCACATCCGAGGTGCCAGAGCGAGCGGCTGCGTAAGGACGGCAAAGGGTATTTCATTCATGTCACCACTGGTTATAACTAGCTCGGGGAGAGAAAAAGTCTAAGTTAGTAAAGGGCCAAGTAATGACAAAGGAACAAGACCCTTCCTATTTCTCCTTATGACACGGATCCAGGGCCTGGGAAATTTTTCACTTGGGTTCTGACACTTTGCAGCTTCATCTCCCCAACAAAATCATTGTAACTGTTGCGGCTTACAGACCCTACACGGCTTTCCTGCGGGAACAGTCACGTCAGGCAGCTCTCAGGAGCGCTGCTGCGGGTGAGCGAGCCTGGCGGCCGCGCCCCTTCACTGACCGGACCGCGGGAGCCCCTCTGGGGGCAGCA